ATCTCTCCAATCCATGGAATTATCTCTCCACCCCATGGAATTATCTCTCCAATCCATGGAATTATCTCTCCACCCCATGGGTTCATCTCTCCACCCCATGGATTATCTCTCCAATCCATGGGTTCATCTCTCCAATCCATGGGTTCATCTCTCCACCCCATGGAATTATCTCTCCACCCCATGGATTATCTCTCCACCCCATGGATCATCTCTCCACCCCATGGATTATCTCTCCAATCCATGGAATTATCTCTCCAATCCATGGGTTCATCTCTCCAATCCATGGGTTCATCTCTCCACCCCATGGATCATCTCTCCACCCCATGGATTATCTCTCCAATCCATGGAATTATCTCTCCAATCCATGGGTTCATCTCTCCACCCCATGGATTATCTCTCCACCCCATGGAATTATCTCTCCAATCCATGGGTTCATCTCTCCAATCCATGGGTTCATCTCTCCACCCCATGGGTTCATCTCTCCAATCCATGGATTTGTTTCTCCATGGGAAGGGGCAGGGAAAGGGTTTGAGGTCTGGGCAAGGAGTGGGGGAAGCTCCAGGAGCTCCCAAAATCCCTTCAGGACAATCCCTGGAGCCACCAGAGCCGTGCCAACCCCAATCCAAGGATTTGGAGCCGCCAGAGTTGTTCCAACCCCAATCCAAGGATTTGGAGCCACCAGAGCTGTCCCAAACCCAACCCGAGGAGGAGGAGAAGCTCCAGGAGTTCCCAAAATCCCTTCAGGACAATCCCTGGAGTTGTTTAAATCCCGATCCAAGCCAAGGATCGGAATTCCAGGGGCAGATTTGGAGCCCCGTGGGCAAATCCCTCCCCTGCGAAACCTGAGTTGCTTTCAACTCAAAATAACATTCCAAAAATTGAATAAATATTCAAAAAAACACGGGGAAAACACAAATTATTCCACAGCAATGCTGGTTTTATTCCAAAAAATAAAGTGCAGGCAGGAAGGGCCCTGGGATGCGCCTGGAATTTTTATTCCAGACACTTCAAAGGCGGCTCCGGTTCCATCCGTGAATAATTCACCAAGGCACAGACAAAGAGCAGCGGGAAGGGAATTCCCAGAATTCCGGAGGCGTGCTGGAAAATCCAGGCCAGGTTGTGGTTTTGGGGTGATTTCTGCCCTTTCCAGGTGGATTTGGGGAGCAGGGAAAGGGGGAACGTGTCCCGTGTCCCCCCGCCGGGTCCTTGTCCCCCAGCAGGACGCACATCCCGAAGGAATTCTGCTCCTGGAGATTCCTGCTGGGGTCCCCAAATTCCTGCTGGGATTCCAAAATTCCTGCTGGGATCCTCAAATTCCTGCTGGGGTCCCCAAATTCCTGCTGGGATCCCCAAATTCCTGCTGGGATCCCCAAATTCCTGCTGGGATCCCCAAATTCCAGCTGGGATTCCGATTCCTGCTAGGATCCCCAGATTCCTGCTGGGATCCCCAAATTCCCACTGGGATCCCCAGATTCCTGCTGGGACTCCTGCTGGGATCCCCAAATTCCCACTGGGATCCCCAGATTCCTGCTGGGACTCCTGCTGGGATCCCCAAATTCCTGCTGGGACCCCCAAATTCCTGCTGGGATCCCCAAATTCCTGCTGGGATTCCGATTCCTGCTGGGATCCCCAGATTCCTGCTGGGATCCCCAAATTCCTGCTGGGATCCCCAGATTCCTGCTGGGATTCCTGCTGGGATCCCCAAATTCCTGCTGAGATTCCCAAATTCCTGCTGGGATTCCTGCTGGGATCCCCAAATTCCTGCTGGGATCCCCAAATTCCTGCTGGGATTCCTGCTGAGATTCCCAAATTCCTGCTGAGATTCCCAAATTCCTGCTGGGATTCCTGCTGGGATCCCCAAATTCCTGCTGGGATTTCTTCTGGGATTCCCAAATTCCTGCTGGGATTCCTGCTGAGATCCCCAAATTCCTGCTGGGATCCCCAAATTCCTGCTGGGATCCCCAAATTCCTGCTGGGATTTCTTCTGGGATCCCCAAATTCCTGCTGGCATTCCCAGATTCCTGCTGGGAATCCACCCAGCGCAGCCCGAATCCCTCACCCAAAATTAAAACCCAAACACCCCAAGGTCACTCTCCATGTCCCGTTTTGCCTCAGATCCACCCCAAATCCCAAATCCCAGATCCCAGATCCCAGATCCCGGATCCCGGATCCCGGATCCCAGCCCCTGGCCCTGCAGGGATTGGTGGGGCTGAGGTTTGGGGGGTTTTGGGGGGGGGTGGGTGCTGCACGATTTAGAAAGTTCTGGAGGTGGGGGGAGGAAACAGGTGCAAAAACCACACAAACATCGCAGAGGAAGCGGCTCCTGTTTGTTCTTGTTTTGGCTTCCTGAAGTTATTTTTGATTGGTTTTGGCCAAACCAGAAGCAGAAGCTTTGCGAGGCTCAGAAAGCAGCAGAAGAGAAAAGCCAAAAATCATTTACAGAAAAGTTGTTTGGAAGGCACAATCGTTTACTAATAATAATTTCCAAAGATTCCCTGAGATGATTCCTTTTAAAAAAAAAAAAAAACATGAGATGAGTTTTCCACACAAAAGGGGCCAGTGTGGAAAACTCATCCCTGGAGGTGTCCAAGGAACCCACTGGACGTTGGTCTGGGTGACCAGGATTGGTCCCGGGCTGGAATTGGCTTTTCCAACCTCGGGAATTCTGAGATTCCATAGCAAACGTCGTTTCAGAGTCTCCTCCAGCTTGTCTTGGAGTCCCTGCAGCTTTGCAGAGTTTTAGCCCAGGATCCCGGTGGGAGAGGGTGGCAAAAGGAGCCTGAATCCCAAAAACACGGAGAGAGATCCCAAAAATCCTCCCTGAAATCCCAAAGTGAGGCTGCTGAGAGGGAAACTGAGGCAGCAGCAATGAGAAGGGGAGATCCTGGGAGGGTGAGATCCGTGAGATCCGGGTCCAGAGCAGGATGGGGGATGCTGGAGCTGTTCCAGAGTCACCTTGTGGGCTCCATCTCTCTGAGCGGGGAATGGAGATCCTTCTAAACCAGTTCTGGGTCTTCTAAACCAGTTCTGGGTCTTCTAAACCAGTTCCAGGTCTTTAAAACCAGTTCTGGATCTTCTAAACCAGTTCTGGATCTTCTAAACCAGTTCCAGGTCTTTTAAACCAGTTCCGGGTCTTCTAAACCAGTTCCAGGTCTTTAAAACCAGTTCTGGGTCTTCTAAACCAGTTCTGGATCTTCTAAACCAGTTCCAGGTCTTTTAAACCAGTTCCGGGTCTTCTAAACCAGTTCTGGATCTTCTAAACCAGTTCCAGGTCTTTAAAAACAGTTCTGGGTCTTCTAAACCAGTTCCAGGTCTTCTAAACCAGTTCTGGTTTCTTGTAAACCAGGTCCAGACTCATTAAAACAGCTGCAGACTTTTAAATCACTTCCAGATTTTTCTAAGCTGGTTTCATGTTCTGAAAAGTTTCATGTCCTTTAAACCAGTTTTGTGTCCTTTAAACCAGTTTTGTGTTCTTTAAGCCAGTTCTGGGTCCTTCTCGTCCGGTCCCAGTTCCTTCTAGACCATCCCAGGTCCTTCTAGACCAGCTCCAGGACGGTCCTGGTGGCGTTTTCTGCCGTCCCATCATCCGCCTGCGAGGACAGAGGGACAGGAGCTCGGTTTGGGATGGTGGGAGCAGATCCGGGGTTTGGTTTAGGGCTCTGGGCCGCTCTGGCCCGGCCCAGCTCCAGAGCTCCATCCCCACCCCGGGCTCACCCAGCCCACCTGCTCCGGACGCTTGACCAGGGAATAAACGGTTTTGGGGGACCCCCCGTCCGCCGGCTCGGCTTTAGCTCCTGTAGGGACGCGCTGCGGGAAGAGGATTTGGGAAGAGTTTCAGGGCTCGGTGCTGGAGAAAAGATCCCAAACCCAGAGATCCCACGAAGATCCAATTGTGGAGCTGCTGCCCGTCCCAAGGCCAGGCTGGAGCCTCCTGGGACAGTGGGAAGTGTCCCGCCCTTGGAATGGGACGATTTAAAACTCCCTCCCGACCCCAAAATCCCCATTTCCCTCTGATCTCACTAAAGCCAAGGTTTTGGGGCTGGGCACGGAGTTTTGGGCAAGTTCAGGTGCCCCTGGGCCACCTCCAACCCCAAAATCCCCATTTCCCTCTGATCCCACTAAAACCAAGGTTTTGGGGCTGGGCACGAATTTTTGGGCAAGTTCAGGTGCCCTTGGGCCACCTCCAACCCCAAAATCCCCATTTCCCTCTGATCCCACTAAAACCAAGGTTTTGGGGCTGGGCACGAATTTTTGGGCATGTTCAGGTGCCCTTGGGCCACCTCCAACCCCAAAATCCCCATTTCCCTCTGATCCCACT